TCACTCGAAATATAAAAAATGGTATGGAGTTTTGTAAGGAATTTATGGAAATAGACCAGACATATGTGCAATCTATATACTACAAAATATATTCAAATGAATCATTCAGTATTTATCTTTTAGCCCTGTACTTGTTAAAACGACTTATAAAACTGACATATATCTAAATATGCTATGAATAATATATCTTTTAGTCTTATTACGTGAATACTGAAGTTTAACTGTGAATATTAGTTTGTTTAATTTACTGCCATGAGAACAAGTAGATCCAGTTGTTTTCAAATAAATTGACCTTCAGTTAACTATTTGCAATCTTATTTATGAATGCTTTGTCTAACACAATGTAGAATTGGAAAATATTTTTAGGATCGCATTTTGTGATTAGATTGGCATGACTTAAAGATGAATTTCCATGAGGAAAGGAAATGTTCAGCTTTTAATGCATACTCTGATTTAACCCATGTTGAGACAAATGCCTCTGACTCGACTAGATGATGTACGGGTTATATGTGAATTAACTGAAGTTAAGTTCTGATCCAAGTGTAAATTTCCCAGACACATTCAGAGACCTAAACCTCTTTAGCTCAAGCTTTTGTGATAATTGATAGGTATTGCCAAAGAATTTCAAACGAATGACAATGATTTCAATAGTTGAGATCGTGAGTCAATTGAAGCTAGATGGCCATTTAGTCCTATAATAATGATCTGTCTAATGTACCCTAATTGTTATTATTTCTCGAACTAACATCAATCTATGATGGAAATTTTCTTCGAATCCAAGACATCTATAAAGATTTGTTCTAATAATCATAAGTATAGAACGATAAACTAATATGAAAAATCGCTATTTAGTTCATTTATCATTTCAATCGCTATATAACTGAGTTTTTCAGTTCGTGAAGAAAACGATCATAATTTATTCTTAAGGGCTTTAATCATCTTGCTGTTGATAATTAGACCGTAATCTTTACCAGTCTGTATTGGTATATGTAAACTCTGAGCCCATGCTTAGATGTAGTTTTTTGGTGAACCGTCGGAAACATTTCTAAATGCCTTCTACTATAAATTCGTTGAATAACGAACTATCAATGAAATGTTCTTTATTTGGAATAATAAAGGACTGCAATGTTTTTTCATGAGATGGAAGAGTAACGATTTATAGAATATTTTCCTAGTTTAAGTCAACCTTCGGATATCTAATAGCATCAAAATTTAAATTTATTTCCAGAATCTTAAGAAATGTCATGTTGGAATAGCTTATTACTTTACTTGTAAAACGAGGAACCACTGAAATTCCAACGACGCGAATTAACAATACAAGTGAAGACTAATTACACGCAAAATACGACGACAACCCTAATCGAAAATACACTCCTTTATGTATTGATTGTATATCCATTTTGAATATTAATTAAAATAAAATCATATATATGGAAAATATCCAGTTATAATAAATCATGTATTGGATGTCATGCTAAGTTAATACAAGAATATCATATCTTTAACAAACATACTCAAATTACTGGTATACCAAATAAAATATCTCACTGGGAAACAAAACAAATACTGCAATGAGCAATTACCACAATGAATTAAAACGAAAGTAATGTTTGACAGAAATCATAATGAAAATTGCGATTACACTTTTCCATTCTGTTATATCAGTTTTCAGTAAATTCAAATGCCGATACGCTAACATAAAATCTGTCAGAAGGCTTCGAAATCTACATCTACACAGAAAAATAAAATACGGATTGTCGATGCGCTTTTAATTGTCAAAACCCTAGGTTGCGAGTTTAGGCTTTGAACCGAAGGATTACTGTATTCCTATTCACCTGCTTGAATATATCCTCCCCATTCAACCTACTTTTCTGGGTTCGAACTCATGTAGTGCATATATTACTGACGAGGCCCCAACTGCGACGAAATAGCTGTTTAGTTTTTCACATCATCTAGCAGTTTCCTAGGGGATCCTTTCTTTATACAAAAATCACACTGCGAGCTGCTTCACAAACCGCCTCAGTAAAATTAAATTCCCTTTGTCAAGCGCGTTCGTGTGGCATCAATGGTACCGTTTAATTTGGATAATTTTAAGTGGTATAGAAAGTCAGATGTACGTAAGTTTCTAAACCAGCAGTTAGAAATGATAAACAGGTTGATTTACAGTACCCTTTTCAATTTTTCTCGTATACCTATGTTGTCATGATACCCAACAAAAACCAGAGCTCACTGAGGCTGACATACTTCCATGAATTGATTGCTCAGTAATCGTCAGTGTGATAGTTTACCTCTTAGTAATAACTGTTTTCTTTTTATTGATTTAAAATTTAACCTCTAGTCTGGAGCTCTCGCTTGAAATAAGGTAGCTGAAATTAACGATTAACTTAACTATGACAGACACCAAGCAACATAACACAAGGATTTCTACAGACTGATTCAGTCCATATGCTAATAGAAAGCAATGTAATGTGCAGTCATTTGACACGGAGATATCGCAAATTGATTGACAGAATCGCGTTAGTAACAAGGAGTGGATATCAGCATTAAGCGACCGACTAGACAAGGATGACGTGAAAAGTCGCTAAAGTAGCCGAAATTCATGGCACTCGTCGGGAAGAGGAATTATGGTGAGCATTCACGGCGTTTCAGAGATTCACATAACAATATTCCAAAGCTAAATGAACTGATCTCATTTCGAACTTCTCAGTAACCTTGAGGAACTCGATACTCGTATAAATTGGGCGTATGTAGTAACCACGTTTTTTTTCATTCGCTTTTATCATCTACTGAGTGCATAAAGACAGATACATATTCAGAACTAGTTCTATAACTTATCATGCTATGATTTTTGTGTTATTTATCAACGGTCAGTCAAATAGCGTGTCCCGACTACTGGTCATACTATGATCTCGTTCATACTACTCACTAGGTTCTTGTCATAACCTATGGATCTTAATGGGTACATGACTACATTCCCGATATTAAGTCGAGTAGGAAGTTTGTAGTCGACTAACCTGTAATCTATGAACTGTAATATGGCAAATGTGACTTGTAGGGTGGAAATCCATCACGAACATACAAAACTTGAACCTCTAACCTTTCAGTTGACGAAGCCTTCAAGACCATATCAAAGTCAATATGACTAAATTTGAAGGTTAATTTCTGGCTATATTAAGATATTTGTGATCTCCCGCAAAGTCGTCAAACGTTAAAGAACTTCAGTTTTAATCTATTTGTTAATCCCATTTATTTTGTACAGTTTCATCAAGATGTTCTGATTGTTGTGCATGTAGAAAATTCTACTGTACAGTTTATGATGTGGGATGAATTTATTTATCTGATCATATTTATTTTGGTACATATGAGCAACAAAGCGCCACACAAGTCACTTGTTTTGTGTGGGGTTTTGATACTTTGATATTGAAGAAATTATATTTTCATGCGGCAAACAAATAGAAAGGGACAAAGAACAGTGCTTCCTGTAGTTATTTAAGGAACCTAAGATTTAGTCAGTCTCCTCTTAATTGAATCTTGTAATTTTGTGCAACTATAATTAGTAATAGAATAACCGTGCCTTATTCTGAGACTCAATAGATAAACTGGATGGGAGAATATAGTCACGATACTGCAGTACTTTCAGTGTACAAGCAAATTAGTAAAAGTCGCTCACGAATGGGCTGACCACAGCTAAGCAAGACCATCAGTAAATGAAGATTCAGATTTTATAATATAATTTACAACTGGTAGTGCCGCATTAACAAGATCGTACTAGCGCTTTTGAGGAAAATATCAAACTGACCAGATCAGTGACATTGCAACTTGGTAATTTTCAAATCTAAAGATGCTCTTTTTACTCAAACAGCCGTATAAGTTAACTCAGCGTCTAGCAAGGACACATGCGCCAGCTTTTCGAAATCTCCTAATGTTTCACATATAAGGAACACAGCATCCAGCTACTGTTTCCAAAAAATTCATAAATGGACTGTCATAACAATTATGGAATGCCGAATGCAATAAGTGTCGTGACTAACTGCCCCCAAATGCCCTGGTAAGGGGAGAGTCTGCTCTCCCTCTCCAAATGCTCTCACATGGCCACGCGTATATAGCCTTTATCAGGGAAGTCCTACTCGTGGCGGGGGTGTTGTCTACGAAATCGAGAGGACGAAAGCAAATATCCGGCGTCCTATCCTGGTTGGTGGGTATGGAGGATCCACATAGGGGAGTTGGAAAACCCTGATTCCAAATCAATGGTGCACATGGCCCCCAGTATCCTGCGGGAACGAATGGCGTATGAACCAATTATTGGTCACCGGCTACTATGGAACTGCATCTCCTCACGATGCGCCACTGCCATGTGGATCAGAGCTTTATGTCGAAGGCTCCAGGTGTGACCCACTAAGAAAACCACCTGCTTCGGTTTGGACACCTCAGAAGTATCACAGCCCTCACACATATCAATCGAGATTTGTGTGGCGCATATGTACTTGGTGCCTATGTGTTGAAATAAAGTAAATAAAAATAACTATGCTACACAATAACATGTAGAACACTGCAAACAATTTATAACGGTTAAGCACGAGTCAAAATCTGTCAAAATATTAGTTTTAGTAATCAGTCACCCTGTTTAAGAGATTTATTGGGATATCACTGTTTTTAATTAATGAAGTGTCGTCTCTGGTCATGTCGGTGTAGAATCATGAACGAAAACAACTGCAGGAAGAATAAAGGTAGTCATTTTAAAAATGTATTACAATCTTTGGATCACTATTACTCTTTAATTGTTAGCTTGGCATGCCAAAACTCAAACATAAGATTGCTGTTAAGAGAAAGCTATTCGCACATGTTCCATGTCGCACGAAGCAATATGGTACCAAATTATACATTGCGATTGGTCACTGAACCAAAGAAATGCAATATCAACAAACAAAGACCATCGGCTACAGCCGTCAGCTATAGATATATAAAGTTAAGCAATATACCGGGCTTGATCAATACGACAATCAGTAAGTAGGTTGAGCAAATGCAGTAGTCATTCCTCGATGTGCGCCACCACGACCTGGATGAGCACCGAAATTACCGCCACCACCCCGCTGACCGGTATTGCGTCTTGGACCACCGCCTTGTGGAGGAAAAATTAAAATGTCTGTAATGTATGGTATATACAATTAAACAAAACATTGACAACAATGTTTAATGAATTTTGAATATTCAAAATGCAATGCCAGGTGTAGAAAATCATTTAAATTCAATTATATATCTGTTTGAAACCAACTGATACGCTGAAATACAAAATCATACTAGTGATACTAAATTTAACAAATGTACACATTTTGAAAAACTCCTACATTATAAACAAAGTATGCATCCGAATATTAGCCAATGAAAAAGAAACGTACTTCCACGACCTCGATTTTCATTTGGAATGCGACTACGTGATCCAACTTTGGAATTTCCACGCGCGAAATTTGAATCAAGTTGCTCGGACTCACGAGAGTTTTCATCCATTGTGCGGTCGATCTTTTTAGAGTTTATATTATCTACAACTGCTTGTCGACTAAAACCTGCGTGTACTTGGCCTGCTCTCCGAACAGAATCCGCATATGAAATTGGTTTGTGTATATTGCTATTTCCCTCATGCTCATCCTGAGATAATATTGATTTAAAAGACGTAGGTTGATTGATATTGTCTGATGACAAAGATGATGAACTTCTTCCGAATAATTCAATCTTTGAGTGTTCAACTTCTGGAATATTCAAAACATATTGTTGGTCTATCCTTGTAACCAATGAAGGGTCTATGTTATCCTCGATATTATGATTGCTGAAACAAGAAACACTTGTTTCATTTGGTAATTGATTAACAGGCATAACATCGTCGTAGTTTGCTGGAGGTTCGGGTGTGATATGCGAATGGTTGACTCTAGAAGCCTGAAACAAAAGTAGCGAGGTTAACATTAAACAAGTGAAGCTGTTAACAAAAATACACACAATATATAGAAATATAATAAAAACGACCGCCAAAAAATCGAGAAACAAAGGTGATTTCATGAGGTGAATTACACATCAGTTTATTCCTTAGAGGTATGATATCAGCTGGAGACTTAGCAACACAAAAGAGTACTCGTTTACATTGATAAGTACACGTCTACCGTTGGATATGTCAAGCAAACTTATTTGTCAACCAATAACACAAAGCGGATATCATTTATTGACCAGTAGCTTAAAAAAGGCAAACCACGAGATTGTTCAAAATGATATTATATATAAGGAGAAAACAAGCCACACCGCACGAGCACACCTAACGAAAGCAAGGGACAGTAAAAACAGACTGACAATTAATAAAGATCTGACATTTACAAATAAAACTTTTGTCATCTAATTCAAGAAACAGTGGTATTTTTTCTGAGTATGTTTTATAGCATTGGTCGTTAAATTACGAAGCAAGACTACTGTTTTTGCTTTAACTAAATTTATTTCAGAAGTTTGTCATCTGTATTTTTCGAGTACAGATACAAAAGAAAGGTCAATGGTATTTTCTCCTCGTTGAGTATATCTTTTAATATTGTTGTATCTAAAGGTGCTAAAGTATTTTTGTAACTAATGAAGTTAGACTTTTTATTGTTAGGTAGAGTTATATAGAAACCTCTGTTCTTGTTTGTTTAGTATCTATCACCTAACAAGCCTCAAAAAAGTTATCTAGAAATCAATTTTCGCATATTCTTCTTCCTGTGAGATCACAAAACAAATTTATGGAGCAAATAAAACATCGATGTGGCAGACCCGCATGCTTTTCCCTGTTGAATATGGGATGCAACGTGACAACTCCAATAAGTAGTATCACAATATGTGCACCGGCTGCATATAGAAGGTGCTAAATACTATTATTACGTTGGCTGTGCAAAGCATCATGTTCTACAAAGTTTGTAGATTCTTGAGTTGCTGTACATAGCTAGAAAATCGCCCTCAGATAAACAGGCAGCAGTAGATGAGCAGAATTCTAATTTTGAGGAAATGAAGAGTTATCATGACCTCGGCTCTGGATTTGAATAAGACCATAGAAGTGGACCCCATTAGGGAAGCAGGAAACAAGCATACTGATGAAAGCATTGTTACAAGGAAAAGGAAAAAGCACGCTTAACTAATTATAGACAATACTAAAGTATGAGAATCTATGGTTTCAGTTCCAGATTCACAATATGGGGGAACAAAGTGTACAGGATGTGATCAATAGACAAAATAAAGTAAATGGTTGGCTTAGTCACACCCAGAAAAAAAAGTAAGAGAACAGTATGACCTGTTAGACGCCAAATCGGAATCGGATTGCAAGGGAAAAATTCAGGTTAGATTATCATAGCGTGATAAGACGGACCTCGCTAAAAAGGAATCAAATGCTAGATTTGAGCACGACCCGTTTTTAATAAGCAAGCTACCCCCTAGAAAGTCTCAGGAGTTAGCAGCTGTAAGTTTTATAGGATAGGACAAAATGTGGATTATGAAAGTACTCAGAAAAGCCGCCTCCTAAAAGTTATCTTTGCTTCGGCTGAAGAAAGAAACCTAATACTGAGAAACTCATCCAAACTGACCGGATACGAAATATACGTCGAAGATCTCAGTCTGGTTGACTGTATTAGACGATCAGCAGAAGTACAGATGAAAGCCGCCGAAACGGTGAAAATCTCATACTAAAGGGTTTTCAAATTGTGAAAGTTCGGAGCCAAACGATCACCAAACTACTATCGGTGGTAAGGAAATGCTGTCCACAGAATTGATTGTGTGCTACACTAATGCTTGCAGCCTACTAAAATAAAATGGCGTAGCCCGATTCAGTGGTAGATACAGAAAAATCATGTCATCTTTGTCTCAAAAACACGGTTAACATAAGTTTGAAAATGAAATTCAGTTGACTGGATTTTTTCCAGGAGGGGAGTTTATCTTGTACACGAAAAGTAGCTTGACCACACGAGCTGTTGAGATAGTGGTACATGATTCAGGGACATGTGAACTGGTGTTGCAGGTCGAAATGTAGAGAACAAGATACTGAATTAGGTGTAGTATACCGCAGGATGTGATGATTTTCTCCTAAGCAAACTTAAGTCCTGATGAAATAAAAGTGAAAACCTGATAGTAGGCGACTTTAATGCACAGTATAAAAACTGGGAAAACTTAGAAATATGGTCATCGACATCATTTGTTTGCAAACTTTTAGAAACCTCAATCGCACTAACTTTATTACAGCACATAAAAGATACGTGTTCATGCACTTTGGGGCTACAGTGTTGGAACGTAACATTCAGAGCAGTGGCATCCGCACCGTCAATGAACTCATTCAAGGAAAGACTAGACAAACAGAAGCATACTAGGAAAGTTATAACATGTACCTTCTGTCCTTGCTACACAAATCGGAATCTGATATTTACCACTCAACCTTAAACCGAAATGAAACACTATTCAGGTTCCAGACAAGTTGAAAATTTTGTCAACATTTACGTTCACATAGAGGAATTATTAATATCTTCGATTCCTTTTACTCTTGGAACATGGGGCAGTGCGGTACCCAAACGTATTGAAATTTAGTCAACTACTAAGTAGATAACGGTCAACGTCTGTGGAGGACGTCAAACAATGAGCCTACAGTTGCTTAAATAAAATGACAATAATACCAGTAGAACTTCAACAAATTAATATCTCTATTCAATTTGTTGCTTACCTGTAACTACTTTAGGTCCAGACTAATTAAAATACTGTTAGCTGTTAAAAAACAACTGACTAACTGAATAGTATTTAGTGAGTTATACCACACTATATGATAAACTATCTTGGATCAATAACTAGAGAATAGGAATCACCAAGATAGTAAACTTCTTTCACGGGTAAGCATGACGAATAAACTAATTTATTGCCTACCTGGATGAAGTTAAACGTGCTACTGAGTGGTCGGATAACTTGATCCACCGGTTCGTTTGACGTTGTAACAGAAGAGTGCACACCTGTTGCGAATTCATTGTACGGAACAGTAGTGACTTCAGCAGGACCTGATAAGCCGATAGGTGAGTTGATTTCCGAATCTGTAACAACTTGTGTTGGTTCTGGTACAATCGTTGTGCTACTATCACTAATAAGACCCATTGATTGCTGAACAAGTGGGTTAGACAGTAGTCGGAAGCACAGATTGCGAACATCTTTGTAGGTCGTGTGTTTCTTCCGTAAATCCTCTGAATCGTTTGACAGTGGAACAGATACTGAATTTCCACTCACCAAATTGAAGGTGTTTGTAGCAACAGCCTTAAGATCTTCCCGTGCTTGTAAAAAGTTGGGGACAGAGGATAGAGCTGAAGAACTAAGTCCAGGCCAATTATCCACTACCGGTGGTGTTAATATGTCTCGTACAGCGTCTAGCAACTTAAGGCTGTTTTCTGATGAAGATTTTGTGACGGCTGAACGAACTGCTGGAATATCCAAGGAAGCAAAGAAACGTTCCAAGCACATGTGGACACTTAGATACGAAAGTGTATATTTCTCATGTTCAGCTTCCAGTTGGGACATTTGCTTATCAACGACTGACTCCATATTCGACAAGAGATCTCTCGTCTGTGCCACAATCTCTTGCACAAACGAAATGTTTTGAACCACACCATCATAGCTTTCGACAGCTTTCTTTTGTTCCTCTTTCAGAACCTCACCTTTCTGCAGTTTTTCGCGATAACCATCTAGCTTACTCTACTGAAAATGATGACACAAACCAGATTTACCTTTCTTTTTCCAAGATTTCTTTGTCTACGCTCAAGATTAGACAAGAACTGTCTAACCAACTCACATGGAGTATCACACTCAACCATGCCCTTAAAGCTGATCACAAATAGTACAAAACCCTCCGAAGTACTGATTAAAACGACGAGCTACTGTCATATGTACAATATTACGTTATTTGCACTGTTAAGTAGCTTTGACTAGCTAATCAGCTTTGTTTAGTCGATACCTTGCTATTGTTAATAAAATTTTAGGTTGAAGTCTGTACCTACAAAGAAAAAAAAAACAACGTTCTGAAATACAACATACTGAGCAACAACCAAATCATACTTTATGGTGAAGCTGTGGTAGAGATTCAAGCTTTCATATTCCTGTGTGTGTCATTGATAAACCAAGATAATCGGGTGCACATGCGAAAGCATGAATTGGTAGCGCACGGGAAACATTTCTACATCATCAACGAGTGGAACTCATTACCTCAGCACGTGGCTGAGGCTCCATCCGTCGATTCTTTCAAAAGAAAGTTGGATCAACTGAGGGACCACCATTGCCAGGACTAACACAGGCCATCAGGTCTCCTGCCCTTCCCAAAATGAAACCGAAACTGATTTGGAGCTCCAACCAACTGTCAGACAACACCAAAACCAAAATTTTCAAATAGAAAAACTGAGACAGTTCCACAGTATAGAGTTGAAAAATTCGGAACTATCACAATCATCAACAAAAAATCACACATATTAACAAACAGCTGTCTGCGAGATACTCCACATTCACTAACAAAAACCATTAGCACTAACCCACTGAAACGGCAAATGAATCCTGGAATGAATAGTCCTGTAAATCCTTGACATTAATGCTGACCTCATTAGTTTTCCTGAACACGCTTTAGAACAAAGCGCCTGGTAAAGCATACTCATCTGCAACTGTGGTAAATGTGAGGAGAGGAGAGGACCAAGTACTTCATCAACTGAACCTGAAGAAGGATGTTTAAGACTATTTTGCAAAAAAGCTTCTTTTCTATAATAAAACCTCGTAGTTCAATTTTTAGTAGTATAAGTCGTTGTTCTTCAAGCCGTGTTCACCACTGGATGTAGTCTGTATGATGTTGTTTTGAATGTTTCCCGTAAAAAGTTAGGAACTATTTACACTTAATACGTACCTGATGACCACTGTGCACTCCATGCTATCCACCCCTTAAATTAACCAGTCAGCCTAGGGCACACACTCCTCCACTTGCCGACTATCTTCTAAGACTATCCTTCTCCTGTTTCCTTCCTGAATTCTGGTTTGAATGCGTTTTTGATCTTTGATTATAAGAGCGCTATTAACGATGGACTTACTACAGTGGTAGGGAACAGACCAGATTAATAAAAAATGAGGAAAAGACACTGGAGGTGGGTGTACCACAATTGTTAGGGCCAAAACATAGGCCACAAGTCGGAATCCTCGTGACAAAAGGTTGAGATGTTTATCAAGGAAACATTGCCCCAGGATTCGAAGTCAGGCATCAAAATATTTCTTTGTGCTTGGGAATAATAGGAATGCAGAGCTTGAAACGAAGGTTGCGGGAGATCCTTCTTTGTCATTCCGTGCCGATATTTAATGTGATGGATGTCATCAGTCAGCCTCACAGACGTGCGCCTTCGGTATAACTTGTCTTTACTGACACTAAATATATTATTCTATCTCTAACGTGTGTCCTTTACAAACGCCAAATATTATATCACGGATTGTTACAATTCAACGATTCGGGGTAGTCGATGATGTGACTTCCATGTGAGATCTTATAGATTAGACTTTCACATCATGACATATCTATTATTATAATTGTCCTAGTAACGAACTGGACTACAATCCTACACCTTAACAAGGATCGTTAGACTGTTCGAGATCTGATGACTTACCTGCCAGATGATTTGGCTAGAGATGAATAACTCCCAACTGGCCCTACACACCTATATGGATGATAAATGAATGACATAGTGATGCTTTGATGACCGACAACTTGGTAAGAATTTCATGGTGCTTTCGTAAAATATTAAAATCATACACTAAATACACCATTTGCACTCTCTCAGTTTCCAGTACATACTTCTTCATTCTTCAAATTCCGTTGGTATTCCAACTCCTCTCTGTTTCTTTCTGTCATCTTCACATAATTCTCCTCGTAGGCACTCCACTTCCAACTGGTGCCACATACTACTTATATTTGTTAACGTTAGGAGCCTACACCATAATACTAGGTATTATGAATAGGAAATCATTTTTGGCATCGTGTATTCTTGCATCAAGCATGAAACTGCAGAAATGTTGAGTAGGAGACCTGCCGGACTTTATTATGCTTATTCTCTAAAAATTCTGATAGTTGCATCCTAGAATTTAAAAGCCTTTTTACGCTTTAGGGAGCTGTTTGAACATTGTGAACTAGTCATGTGGTCAGCGTGATGTCGCTAGTAATGATGAGGACACAAAGTACCTATGAGCAATCGAAAAATATGTGGAAAAATAAAAACAATATCATGGTATGTAAAAACAAAAATTAAAAATGATACATAATGTTCCTACAAGGGACAGACCCACAGTTTACGGATGGGTGTACCAGATCACATTGGGCTCACCACTAAAGATGACACAGGTATTCAGATTTTGACGACGCAATCACCAGTAACACCTCTATAATCAAAGTAATCCAACTCAGTCAAACCAGAGATTAGAAGTGAAGAGGTCCGAAGGAATATCTGAAAGGCTGTTGACATCTCGAGAAGCCTTTGGTCTAAACTCGCTAACGGTTGTAAAAGATAGACAACACGACGTACCCACTAGTGATCTGGTGTGTGTGCATTACGAGGCGCCTTCATTTAGGTGAGTCCAGTAAAAATATTACGGTCAGCATCAAGTGTCGAAGACTTACAGATCTATTTATTTAAGGATTTATATACCACTGCAAAGTGAAGATGCCACAGATGTTCGGAGTTTGACAACGATTTAACCGGTAATAGTTAATATGAATCGTACCCACCAAGTGAAATCAAAAGACAGAATCGAGGATGTTCGAAGATATATTTGATAGGCTATCAATATATCAAGAATTGTATGATCTAATCTGGCTAGCGATTACAAGGGTTGTTGAGCACGGCGTTCTCACTCGCGATCTGGTGCGGATGGATGACCGAGCGTCTTCAACTAGGTGAGTCCATTAAAACATGTGGTCAGCATCCAATGTCGAAAACTTACAGAGACATTTATTTTGGTAATTTATTTGCCTATACAGATCACTCCACCCCCTTATTTGGGAAGTAATGACTCTAAGACGTGGCCAGCCAGTAGTTTAAACCCAATGAGTTTTGCCGTTGGTAAACACTCTTCTGATAGCTTGCTAGGTTTAGCAGCGTCTGGTCGTCTTTCCTTACAATAAGGGACCATGAAATACAATATAGTAAGGAAATAATGTACAATGAAAATTTTGGTTCCTCGTGAACCTCATCGTTTTTTTGTCGTCTTTTCCAGCCGTCCTAGAAAAGAAAAAAGAATATGTAAGTGCATGTCGAAATACACTCGTACTCGCGTAAAAACACAATGCGGGTGAATAAAAGGGAAATAAACACATACACACGCAATAGCGTATAAAGGATTTATAAAAAATGATTTTTTAGTTTTTGTTTTGCTTCGGAATAACATTATAAGTATATAAGCATATTAAGATGGGTTTTTTATATTACATAGTACAAAGAAACATCGAGATGATATAAAATGTCAACTAGTGTCTTGCGTGCAAAAAACGTTCAAATGTTCTGTTAATCTTACTCTTCTTTTAGAACTCGTTGTTTTAAGTTTATTTTCTGATACTGCCAAAGTATTATCATGCGTGTTGGCTGTCGGATGAGGTATTATACGAGTAGAAGCCGTGTCGTCCTATTGTACTGAAGGAAAATCAACGTGAACAGGATTTCCTTTTAAATACGCTGCTTTTAAGCGATCAATGCTGATGCTATCATTGGTTCCGTTCTAATAGATTATATAGTACTTAGGTTCGCGTTGAAGAACTTTGAAGAGTTCTTCGTATGCTGATTCGAGAGGTTGTCGATGTGAGTCTCGATGAACGAAAATGTGTGTACTATATCGTAATTCAGGTTGAATGAAAACATCAGTTGATTGAGGTCGAGTGGAAACGGATTAAACTCAACGCATTGCGTTTGTAAGCCTGTTTCTGTAGGAGGTTAGATCCATGTTCATTGAAGAGGATGAAGGATCCACGAATTCTCTTGGAAGTCGAAGTGTCGTTCCATAAACGAGTTGAGCCACAGTGTATCCAATGTCAGCTTTCACTGCATTGCGGATACCTAGTAAGACGAGTGGAAGAACGTCGGTCCACTGAGAAATGTTTACAGCTGGTAGTGAGGCTTTTAGTTGTCGGTGAAAACGTTCTACCAACCCGTTAGCTTATGGATGGTAGACGGTCGTTCGAAAGCGAGTGATTCCTAAAAGTGTGGTCAGACAACGGAAAAGTTCAGATTCAAACTGACGTCTGCCATCTATAGTGATGGTTGAAGGGCAGCCGAACTTTGCTACCCATCGTTCAACAAAGGTGCGGGCCTTTGTTTCAGCAGTGATGTCCTTGATAGGTACTGCTTCTGGCCATCGAGTGAAACGATCTACACAGGTTAAGAGGTAGGAATATCTATTTGAATCTGGTAAAGGTCCTACCAAATCCAGATGAACATGGTCGAAACGAGCATCGGGAGTTTTAAATGAGCCAGAGGGACATTTATTGTGTCTGATGACCTTAGATTTTTGGCAGCTTACACAGGAGCGTGCCCACTCCCTTACGTCTTTATTCATACCAGGCCAGCGAAAACGTTCTGCTATAAGCTTGATGGTTGAACGAACACCTGGATGAGAAAGTTTGTGCAATGTGTTGAAGACGTCGCATCGATAATGTTTCGACACGATTGGGCGATCCCTACCTGTTGATGTGTCACAAAGTAAAGTTTCCCTACATGTTTATATCTGTTTGATGCGTAGCTTAAGGGTTGTAGACGATAACTCGTGCTGAAGATCAGTGTCTTCTTTCTGAAGTTAGGCGAGTTTC